GGTAGCGCTTGGGCGAGCTCACCGGGCCGCCTTCCTGGGCCGCGGCGCTTCCATTGCAGCTCGCCAGGAGCGAGCGGTGCCTCCAGAACCGGCATCGCCTGGCGGAATGGACCAAATCAGGGCTCCATGGGACTCCCTGTGGCACGGACCAAACCGGGGCTCTGTGGGACCCCCATGACCATCCATGAGTTGGGGGGCTTTACCCCGCTGCTTTCCCAGCAGCTGCCCCCTTTGCATCTGTGCCCCGCAGTGCGGTACAAAACGCATCAGGAAGGGAGGCCGGAGGCTGCCTGCCCTGGGAACAGGAGCAATTTTCACTTCTTTTTTGGCCGTTTCCTTTCCCAGCCCTTGCGTTTATCCATGGGTTGGGGGGCAGCGTGGCCCCCCCAGTTCCACTGGCTAACGGGGGCTCCCACCCGACCCACGGGATCAGTTTTCCTGCTTGTCAGCAGCCAGGATGGGCAACCAAAGCCGGGAAAGGAGGAGCCCTGGGCTGGGGAGCTCCCCCAGCGCTCAGGGCCAGCCCTGGGCACCTCGGCTCTTTGGTGGGATGAGTTTGGGGGTTCTCAGCGCCACCTCCGGCACCACGAAGCCCCAGGTCCGAGCAGAGGCAGTGCTCGCCTCTTCTCCGAGCGCTTTGCCGCTGCTACAAGGGGAGGAGAGAGATTCCTGGAGCCGAATGCCCTTGGGGACAGGCAGCCCCGGTGCGGGAGCAGACCCTGCCTGCATGAGTGCTTGGCCGCGCTCATTTTGGGCTCATCTGGGGGGTTTTACGTCACGGTGCGGGAGCCGTAGCCCCTTGCTGGGGTCTTTGAAGCCGCGTTTCGCGGGTGCCGCACGTCGCCCTGCACGGGCAGCGCTTTCCTTGGAGGGTAACGCGATCCCGTCGGGCCCGCCTTGCAGGGGCTATATCTGGCAGCGGCTTACGGCACATTTTATTTTTAACCCCTGTTTTTTAGCTTCCTTCACTCTGCTTTCAGTGCGCATCTGGGCCCAGAGGCTGGGGCACCCCGTGGGTGCGAGCGTGGGCACCAGGGCTATCACCTGCCTGATGTTCTGCAGAAATAACCCAGGGGCACAGCATTTTTCTTGCCTTTTTTTTTTGGCCTTTTTTTTGGCCTTTTTTGCCTTTTTTCCCCCTCAGCTCTCTGAAGCGATAACTCGCTCCCAAGCAAGCCCAGGAGCAGCAAAACCCCTGGGTTGCTGAGCAGCACCCGGGTGTCACTTGAGAAAATGCTGGCGGTTGCCCAGCAGCTGCCTGGGGGCTCCCATGGCCACCAGGTCCCCGCTCAGCTTGGGGACAGCGACCGGAGCCCAGAGCCCGGCACCGTCTGTTGTGTTTGCAGCACTGGTTCTGCTCAGCAGCAAAGCCCAGCTCGGGCAAGCTGGGCTCAGGAGAGGGCTCAGGAGGACCTGGTTGTGCTCGGCATGAGATAATGTTCTCGGAGGAAAGCCGAGCAAGGGCCAGAAATAAACGGCGGTGCTTGGCCGCTGAGCATGGGTTTTGCAGGGAGCTGGATTCCTTGGCATCGCTCAGGCTCTTCTTCCATCTCAGTGCATTCTTGCTCCATCTGCATTATCGTAAAGGGAAATAAGTTAAAAAAACGAAATGTCTGGCTCAGAGCTGCATCCGAATTGCTTGCACATTGCACGAGGGATTCGTTTTTATCTCCTGCAGGCGGCAGCGGTCGATATTGTGATGCCTTTGGCTGGGCTTGGGCACCGTGCAGAGCTGATGCCACCCTGGGGGGCTTTTGAGTGCCCTGTCCCTGGCATGGGGAGCTGCTGCCCAGGCATGGACCCTCTCTAGGAGTGCCAAACTCCCATGTGGGCATGGAGTGGGTCAGGAGCCCATGGGTGCAGAGATGTCGCTTGGTGGGACGTGTCCCTTCTTGGGGTCGTGCGTCCCATCTTGGTGGGATGTTTGCCACCTCAGAGGGATGTGTCCCATGTTGGTGGCCTCAACAGGGTCCCCAACGGTTGTCACTGCCGCCTTCCCCTCCCCGTGGTCCTCCTCGCCACTGCGGCTGAGTCAGAACGAAAGCAGAAGCTGCTCGACGTGTCAGCGAGGGAAGCCAAGCAGAACCAGCTGGGTTATTTTAAACCAGGCCTAATTTCCCCCTCCCCTTATCTCGCTCGGCCTTGTCCCAGTCCCCCCTTCCCGTCCCCACCCTGGCAGCTCCGCCGTGCGGGCCATTTGCTCAGGAATTTCCTAGGGGAAGCGGC